TTCTTTACTATGCAAAACGTGAGTTAGCAATTACAAATTCTCAAATAAAGACTCAAAACATATGATTTTTCTTACTATTTGAAAATCAAATTCTTATTGGAAAATAATAATAATTATTGTCAAATATTTAAAAAGTAGAATAATCTAATATTTAGAATTTAAATTAATANCTTATTTAAAGACCATTAATATTAAAGTTGTATTGAACTATTCCTATGAGATTCTTTACTATACAAAACGTGAGTTAGCAATTACAAATTCTCAAATAAAGATTCAAAACATATGATTTTTCTTACTATTTAAAAATCGAATTCTTATTGGAAAAAAAATATAATTATTGTCAAATATTTAAAAATTAGAATAATCTAATATTTAGAATTTAAATTATAGAAACTAAGTTATTTCTTTTAATGTTTAGAACAAATAATTAATTATTGAATTAACTAATTAGCAAATCCAATTCAATTTATTTTACAAATTTATCGTATAAGAAAATTTATTTGTTAAATTGAAAAAACACTTAATTTATTTTTATAAGAAGAGTATCGATGGTGAAAGAAATCATAAATATAGCAAAATCAATTATAGTATAAAATTAAGATTCAAATAGGTAAAAGTACAAATTAGCAATAAGATAAAATTGTAGAAGACAACTAGTTATAAATGAGTTGTTATTTGTTTCTTTCTTGCTTTTAGTCCGACAAATGAAAACATCTCGCTAAATATTTATACTAAGTTTTTTCTTGTAAAATATTAGTTTAATATTAGTCATTCTTTAAACGTTAAAATTGTCACTATCAAATTTTTAGAAGATATAACACCAACTTTTTTAAATTTATTTTTAATTTGTATTATTTGTCAAATCTTTAAAGAATTGTAATAAAAAATATTTTTATATTTTATTTTCAGTATTAAGTCACATAAAAATAACAATTTTTATTTCGACATAAATCCGGATAAATCACAATAAAGCTCTAAATAAAATTCCTTCATTTGTTAAGCTAACTAATGGGAATAATATTTATTATTTTAAAAAATTCTTAATTTTTATTTTATAAAATAATTATCTAATAATATGTATATAATTTTTAAAATTTATATATTTATTTGATATATGTACACGCGCAATCCGAGTACCCGAATATAGTCATATAATAAATAAGGACTATGTAATTTAGTTAGTCTGTAACTGTACATACGTGGTGAAATGTCGAAAAGTTGAAGGAAACTCGAATTCCTATTGGTTGGATGACGCAGTAATAGATGAGTTACTCACAATTTCCTTGCAATTTCCTCGGTTACCTTCTCTTTGGACCCTTAACCTCTAAGAAATACGGGGGTGTATGACGTGACTATTAATTGGCCCCATCTACAGGTCCCAAAATCGTAGTCGTAGCTTTAGTTCCCCCACCCCAAACCCCCGCATTTCTTGTTGAATTTTGGTTCAATCATCCCAATCTGGGTTGTAGATAGGCGATGGTGGATGACATCGATGATATCGTTGGACACATCAATTGGGACGATGTAGATGACCTCTTCCACAACATTCTAGAGGATCCCGCCGACAATCTCTTCTCTGTTCATGATCCCTCGGCGCCGTCTATTCAGGAGATCGAGCAGCTTCTCATGAACGATGATGAAATCGTCGGTCACGTGGCTGTCGGAGAGCCTGATTTTCAACTTGCTGACGACTTTCTCTCCGACGTGCTGGCTGATTCTCCTGTTGAGTCCGATCATTCTCCCTCTGATAAAGTCAATGGATTCCCCGATTCCAAGGTTTCAAGTAGCTCCGAGGTTGATGATGACGACAAAGACAAGGAGAAGGTTTCCCAGTCGCCGATTGAGTCTAAGGACGGCTCTGACGAACTAAACAGTGATGATCCCGTCGATAAAAAGCGTAAGAGGTATCTCTCCAAAATTTTGGCCCTTTTTCTTTCCGTTTTTGTAATTTATTCAACATAGTTTCCTTTACCTTAAATTAAAATGGCGCCGTTTATTTAGATAAAATATTTCCTCTTTGCTCAGAGTACTTATTTAGTGCAGCTCATGCTTATTAATTAAAAGGATCCTCTTTCTGATACTGCTTAATGTAAATAATTTGAGTTATGCATGCTAACTTTGCAATTTTTTTTCTTCTTTTCAATCCTTTTATATAGAACTATAGATAACCAGAGTTTACTTTCTTTTGCTATATTTTGGATGTAATCACAACACTTTCTTAGGTGCTGGTTTTGACATCAATAATACCTACTATTTCAAAAAAGAAAAGCTTTTTCTCCTTTTATTCAATCAGTAGTAGCTGATTATGCCATCCCACATTGTGTCTTCTCAGCGGATTTCTAAAGGAGTTTCTCTCTATAAGATTACAGTAATTTGACATTGTACATTGATTGTGGTAACTGCTGAGTCTGCATTAGCCATTCAGTTTATAGTTGATTTGTGCTGTGTTAGAACATAACGTTCACTGTCTATTGATTATGAAACAAAAGTATGATTCTTCTTTCCAAAGTCTGATTTGTCAATTTTGATTTTTATCAAAGCACATGACGGTTCAATGTTTCCATTAATTTGCAACTTGTGAGACATGGTGATATGCTGAACTGTGCGAATTTAAGCTACACCGCCTTCCTGGGGTACTATGAGTAGTTGAGGCAGGGGAATACACACCACCAAGTGGGGAACTTTGCTGACAAAGCAAACTGGTGCTGGACTTTCTCTTAGAAGAAGAAACCATGTTCCATAAAGATTGCACTTATTTAGTGTGTGATGTATACTATATGTCTATATCCAGGAAGAACATGTAGTTCATCATGCTTAAAATTGGAGATATCATCATGTGCACTTATCTAGACTACTGTAATGCATCCCTCTGCTCTTCTCCTTCAAGATGATAATAGCTTTGCATTTATCTAATCTGTGATGTATACAGCAGATTAAAGAAAATTTGAGTAAAAAACTTAATATTTGATCTTCCAGGCAATTGAGAAACAGAGATGCAGCTGTCAGGTCACGAGAGCGGAAGAAGTTGTATGTTAGGGATCTTGAGTTGAAGAGTAGATACTTTGAATCAGAGTGCAAGAGGTTGGGGTTAGTTCTCCAGTGCTGTCTTGCAGAAAATCAAGCTTTGCGCTTCTCTTTGCAGAATGGCAGTGCTAATGGTGCTTGTATGACCAAGCAGGAGTCTGCTGTGCTCTTGTTGGGTAAGGATAAGAAAATTCTTGTCATTTTACTGAAATACATTCTCCATATCACTTTTTGCTGCCATAAATTTTTGGACCCGGCTTCGATTAACGCCTGCCGAAAGTCTTAGACTGGACTGGCTGGCAATTTTTGTAGGTTGCCATGCTTATGTATTATAGTGTGGTCCATTAATTTCTCTCAGGTGCTTATATAGCCTTTATTTTAACTAATGCAATATGAAATATGCAGAATCCCTGCTGTTGGGTTCCCTGCTTTGGTTCCTGGGCATCATATGCCTGCTCATTCTTCCCAGCCAACCCTGGTTAAATCCAGAAGAAAATCAACGAAGCAGAAACCACGGTCTTCTGGTTCCAATAAAGGGAGGAAATAAGACTGGTCGGATTTTTGAGTTCCTGTCCTTCATGATGGGCAAGAGATGCAAAGCTTCAAGATCGAGGATGAAGTTCAATCCCCATTCTTTGGGAATTGTGATGTGACTCGTTGTGATCAAATCCTTTCCCTTGGTGGATCATGCTTCCTTTGAGTTCTTTAGTTTGTATCATAGACTTTCTGTATGAGTCTTTGCTTTTACATCTGAAGGACGTCGTTCAGTGTTATTAGTTGTGACTTATGAGCTTACTAAGATCTATGCAACTTTTTAACAGTTCCGGCCTAAATTTGTTTCGTTTCTGTATTGCATTTCCTTTTCTTTGTTCTTTCTGCCCCAGAGTGGCAGTTGTGGCAAGGGAGCGGGATTACAAGGCCACCAAAATTTTCAAAATTATGAAATCGATGTGAAGATTACTGGTTGGATTTCTATTAGTTTGATATATAAAGATTTAGCATCTTCAAGTATGTTCTCAGTTTGATGTGAAATGAGGCGGTCTGTGTCTTTTCTCTTTTTTCCTGCTCTATAATGGCTTGGAACAGAAAAGTTGGATAGTCTGGAAGTGTATTGACAAATGAGAAAAGAAGCATCTCCGCAAATGTGTGCACTCCTCTTTTTCTTTGGCATAAGGTAAAATTTTCAAGGGTTAGAGTAAACTGGGGGCGGTGTTGAAAAATTGAGATGGAGATGAAAACTGGCTCCTGAGGCCATCAAAACGACCAAAAAGATCCAACTTTGCTACCTTCAAACAAGAAAAAGAAGCTCCTGTTTCCCCATCGAGAAGTAGGTGAGGGTATTTTAGGTGAATATCCGCACGCTTTACCTGCCATCCGAACTATTACGAATTTACCTAATTATCCTGAAGGGGCATATTCCTTTGTGGATTCCTATCTGGACTTGATCACTCAAAAACAATCTTTCACAAGGTAGACTTCTTCAAGTTTAAAAAAATCATAACTTGTTTGCGTAATGGGATTACCGAGAGATGATAAAACTATTATAATAATAAAAATATATACTAGCGTAAATTTTAAAAGATAAAAAAGAACTACTACTAGTAAAAATTTATTTGACAATATAATTTGAGGATTGTGTAACCCATTTCTTAAAACAAATTATGCTTTGATCTTCCTTTTTTCTTTTGAACGAAGACGGGTGAGATGAGTTCTTGCCAGGTGTTTGGATCCTTTTCACTGGGACAAATGGATTCAAACTAGTGATTATACGCGCACTTAATTGCGTTATTTTTACTACAGCTGATGATTTGCTTAGCACTGGTTTTGTGGGGTTGGGGGATTTTCGTATTGCATTGCAGAATAAAAGGAAATGGCTGCATCGTAATAATGTGGAAAAGCAAGGGCATATAGGGTTAGAGTCATGGAACCCGGAAGGTAAAACTGGTTGCTGGGTTGGTTGTATCGCCTCACTAGCCCCTGTCCTATATAAACGGTCTTTTCAGAGTTGGGAGACTGACAAAAGTTGGTGCGAGTGAGTATAGCAGCGACACAAACAATGGATGCAGACTACGGTATACCTCGAGAACTTTCTGATTTGCAAAAGCTTCGATCTCAATACCAGCCTGAACTTCCTCCTTGTCTTCAGGTTTCTCTCTTCCTCTTTCTACTTCTCTTCATGTCTTCTGAAGCCTTTTGTGCATGATACTTTTTGCCATCTCGTCCATTCCTTCTCGCTTGAATCTGATTGTTCCTATCGATTTAACGCACTGTTGTATTTATTTTTGCCTTTTGGCAGTCATAAGTAGTTTATTGCAAAATGTTCGGGTTCGTAGTTTCTCTCGGTATATCAGCCTCGTGAAGAATAGATCTAACGTGGTAGATCACACATATAATGCTGTTTTCTTTCATCAGAGTACCGTTTTGTGGTGTGTTTATTAGGATTATTTTATTCATATCAGATGTGTATTGTTCATCAATCTAATTTTATTGGGAGTCCAATTCATCTGTGTTCCTACACTATTTTTTCAAATTACAAGTAACTTGATCGTGTATTTAAGAAAATAAAAAATAAGTTAAAACATTTACCTCTTTAATTTTTACAAGTTTTTCTTTTTTAGGCAAGGACACAGGATTTCCGTCATGTACTATAAAGTATCCTTTTCGATTTTATTCTGAAAGATTTTTACTAGATTTCGCTCAGCTCCAACATGTTATTTTTCACTGTGATATACGCATGTTTTTCCTTTAACGAGTAGCTAGCCGAAAAGTCATGTCTTTACTTTTTTCATCTGGAAAAAATCACGTCTTTACATCAGCGGAAGTCATGAACACATAAAAGCTGTCTTTTAAAACAAATTATCAGAAATAATGCTGGTTAACTTTTACATAATAACAATTAGATTGTTCAGACGTTTGTCTGACTGTCCCGAGACATTTGTTCAACTCATCATACTTTGGCGTAATTGCCAGCTTTCAATCAATTGATTCATTCATTGGTGTCCATTTCTTGTAGTTAATGCATCACCACTTTGCTTTATTGTCCACGTTTAGGTTATTCTGTTTAATTTTGCCTATGATATCAAGATCCTTGAGCAATTTGTCCTTTGATGTTATTGCTTTAAACATCTTCAGACCTAGCTTTATTCCGAATTGCTCCGATTTGAACAGGGTACTACTGTCCGGGTAGAGCTCCGTGATGCAACCACTGCGGCAGATCCTTCTGGTGAACACACAATTAAACGGTTCTTCCCACACACTTATGGTCAGCCGTTAGCCCATTTTCTTAGGGCAACTGCCAAGGTCCCTGATGCTCAGATAATTACTGAACATCCTGTAATTAGGTATTGCTTTTGACAATTGCTTCATAATTCCTCAGTTTACTCGCAAACTGTATCAATATTGGAATCAGGAGATACTTTCTAACAAATTCTATGCTGACTTAATGCTTAGGTGTATGGTGTTGTTGTTGTTGTTGTTATTGTTGTTGTTATTATTATTATTATTATTTATTTTGTCTGTGATTGAATTCCTCTTTTACTTACATCTTCAAAATCTTAACCCAAGGGATTGCTATCTGTATCGTCACATTTCATTATGCACTAAAATGAGCTTGATTGCGTTTTTGTGCACAGTATTCACCTTTATCCCTAGTCTCTTCTATAGGAACGAAAACTTTGCTCACTGTTTATCCTCTTCTTTTGTTAGGGTTGGGGTGCTATTTTGTGGTAGACAATCTCCTGGAGGACACAATGTGCTATGGGGTCTTCATGATGCTCTTAAGGTTCACAACCCCAATAATACCTTGCTTGGGTTTTTGGGTAAGTATTTCCTTTACGATGGTGCTGTAAGTTCTTTACACATTTCTCATTGTTTTTCATTTGAGATCTCCTTTATGGCAGTTATTGGGATGCTGTAGTAATAGCTAACAAGAGTGTCTATTTGCAGATTTATTTCACCACTATTAACACTCTTGCATGTGTCATGTTTAATATTGAGTATCATGCGCTAATGCTGATAAATTTTTTTGGTTATGCTCTAATATTTATAGTTCTTAGAAACTTGATTCTCCTCAAAGAAGTCATTTGTGCTGAAGCTCTCTTTTTCAAATCTCAATAGGTGGTTCTGAAGGTTTATTTGCGCAGAAAACTCTAGAGATCACCAATGACGTTCTTGCTACCTATAAGAATCAAGGTATTTACATCTGGATGAAGTTTCATTTTATATTTACATTTTGCCTTTCTGGGGGGCTTATTTTTGTTGCTTTTTTTCCTATTAAGGTGGATATGACATGCTGGGACGGACAAAAGATCAAATTAGAACGACTGAGCAAGTAAATTCTGCAATGGCTGCATGCAAAGCTTTGAAATTGGATGGCCTTGTCATTATTGGAGGTATTCATAGTGCTACTGTTAATTGTACATGATGAACCTTCAAGTATACACTATTCCCCTTCATCTAAAGTCTAAAAATATGCATTGGCTTGAAGGAGTGACATCAAACACTGACGCTGCTCAGCTGGCAGAAAAATTTGCAGAAGCAAAATGCCCTACAAAAGTATGTGTTATTCCTGTTGATTCATGTTTAGTAATGAATGTCCTATTCTATTTTCTTTATCTTCCTGCTTTAGTCCAAACCTTGGCTCTTTTATCCAGTGTATTGTCTTATTGTGTCAGTAACATACTAATTGAATTGTTTTTATCTTTAGGTGGTTGGTGTTCCTGTTACATTAAATGGGGATCTCAAGAATCAGTTTGTTGAAGCAAATGTTGGCTTTGACACAATATGCAAGGTACTAATACAAATACCACACAGAATCAGCTCGTAACTAGTTTTTTCCCCTTTGAAATGCATTATCCTGCAGGTTCCTCTTGATGCTTTCTATCCCTTGCTTTAGGTTTTTTCTTTTCGTTTCTAGGTAGGTCGAGAGTTCCATTGGACCTGGTGCTTCTATTTTTCTTCTTTTTTTTTTTTTTTTTTTTTTTCTAGTGGAATTTCTGCTGGCTTCTTTCTGCTTTTGATGTTGTATTCCATTGGGTAGATTTACGGTTTTGCAGTGATAGTAGTGCTGAATTTGCAGGTTAATGTGGAAAGGTCCTTTTCTTTCTCATGATGCTGTGCATGTTAATTAAGTATTAGTGTAATTCAAGCTCTGAACTAGCTGATATTGCGTCTTTGACTTCTTAATTTCTGGAATTCTCATTATCTGGGGTTTCATCTCAGGTTAACTCCCAACTCATTAGCAATATGTGCACTGATGCACTCTCAGCAGAGAAGGTACCGACTTTATTCATGTCCTTAGATGTTTTTCATTGCTTTTGAAATAGTTGGGTGTTGTATATACAGCCTAATATACCTATCTGCTGTTATGAAATCTTTATGGAGGGTTGTTTACTTTAGATGATTGTGATTTACTTTCATGTTACACCTTTATTTTTGTCCTTCTGTTAACATACCATGGGGGATCTTTCCTTTTTTCAGTATTACTATTTCATCAGACTCATGGGGCGAAAGGCATCACATGTTGCCTTAGAATGCACTCTGCAGTCACATCCTAATATGGTTAGTTTTATCTCTGGATTGATTAGCAGATGCTTCAGTTAGGACATGGTGCTTCTTACATATTCCAAGTGTTCTTGGGTCTTCCTTAAAAGTTTTAAGCGATACTGCAGGTGATTCTTGGTGAGGAGGTAGCTGCGTCGAAGCTAACTCTCTTTGACATCACAAAACAAATTTGTGATGCAGTTCAGGCTAGGGCTGAACATGGTATTGAAACTACTATGTCCTCATTTGTCTGTAGAGTCAGTTTTTGAGTTTTGCAGTCAGCTGATTAAGGTTTTGCATTCAGATNAAAAAAAAAAGAACCCACAAAAATAAAGGGAAAAGGAAAAGCAGAACAGAGGTGCAAGATGAGGGCCAAATGGATGCAATCTTCCATGTTGAAGTTTAGTGTTTAGTGCTAGAAAGCTTTGTTGGATGTGGATTTGGTTGTGACTTTGCCTTTTCTGGTTGATTGTACGAATTCCAGGAAATTCATGGTTTACTCAGGCAAGGTGTTTCTGCTGATAAGATTTCCTCCCAACTATCACCATGGGCTTCTGCACTTTTCGAGTTCTTGCCGTATTTTATCAGAAAGCAGGTGCAGTTTCTGTATGTGTTTGAATTGACTGTTAAAAAATGGCACTAACTCTGTTTTGATGAGGATAGTGCTTACACCCAAGGCTTGTGATTTTGCAGCTTCTCCTGCACCCAGAATCAGATGACTCTGCTCAGCTATCACAGGTAACTAAATTTGATGTTTGTACGGTGCTGCTTGATGATATTTATGAACTATCTGTTAGTTGATTGTCTTTAATGCTTTCCTAACAGATTGAGACTGAGAAACTTATAGCTCATCTCGTTGAAACAGAAATGAACAAGCGATTGGTAAGTTAATTTTATTTCCTTGTATTCTGAAATTCAACATGTTGCATCTAATGATTCTTCGGGATCTCTAACAAGTGATTGGAGAATAAGTTTGAAGTACAATATGCTGTAAGGATTGGGGATGATGTTTGTGCAAAAAGATATTGTGGAATATCCTAAAAGCTCTAGGAAGTTACTTTTCTCCGTTCTGCTGGGTAACTATAATGAGATGATGTATATCTAAAAAGCTCAAAAATCAGTTTGATAAACTTTCTTCATTGCACAAAATTTTCATTTTCAGCCATTGTCAAGGTTTCCTTGGATGGAAGTCATTCCCTAATGATCTTGCCTGATGATCAGTCGTTCTTTTCTTGTTTTGTTTTCTTAAAGATCCTTGATGTTACTTTGCTTTAACTTCCTGTGCTTAGGAGAGAGTAGGAAAAAAAGAGTGCAGTTGCTTGCTGCCTTGATCAGTGTTCCGATCTTTTAAGAATGACATCCTTTTTCTTCTGTCATTTTCCAGAAAGAAGGAACTTACAAAGGAAAGAAATTTAATGCTATTTGCCATTTCTTTGGTTATCAAGCAAGGGGTTCATTGCCATCAAAATTTGATTGTGACTATGCCTATGTAAGTTTTGCTGGAGTAGCTGTATTTTCTTTCTAATTTGCATTTTCAGATACATAATTCTCAGAAAACCAAATACAGGTACTTGGCCATGTTTGCTACCATATTTTGGCTGCTGGTCTTAATGGTTACATGGCTACTGTGACCAACTTGAAAAATCCGGTCAACAAGTGGCACTGTGGTGCTGCTCCCATATCTGTAAGATTTCTCTTCAAACTTTTCTGGAGTTGCACCCTAAGCTTCCACTTTTTTGAAGTTCTGAGTATCTATCTTCAAAAATGATTTACTCTGTTTACTGCTTCATTACTGCAGGCCATGATGACTGTTAAGCGCTATGGTCGTGGCCCCGGCAAAGCATCAATTGGAGTACCTGCTTTGCATCCTGCTACTGTAGATTTGAAAGGCAAATCATACGAGTATGTTAAACTTCTGACTTGTTGCTTGTATACATTTTCAGCACAAATGAAGTAGGCATCAGATAAAAATGATATCTTTCTTAACGTTCTTTTTGCATCTAAACAGCTGGATCAATACTTAACCTCTTGCTGTACCTAATTTCTCTCTTCATTTTGGTGCAGGCTGTTGAGTCAAAATGCGACAAAGTTCTTGTTGGATGATGTTTACAGAAACCCAGGTCCCCTCCAGTTTGATGGCCCTGGTGCAGATGCCAAGGCCGTTACTCTTTGTGTTGAAGACCAGGATTACATGGGTCGTATCAAAAAATTGCAGGAGTACCTGGACAAGGTGCTGAATTTTGAAACAGCATGTCTGCTTTTGACCAACTCTGTTGGCTATTCATTTAACTTCTCTCTTTTCTGACTATCTTATGGCATGCTTTTGTTATCTTATTTTCAATTTTCTTTCCCAGGTGCGCACAATTGTGAAGCCTGGATGCTCACAAGACGTCCTGAAAGCTGCATTAAGTGCCATGGCTTCTGTGACCGACATTCTTTCAGTGATATCCTCACCCTCAAGTGGGAGCACACCATTTTAAATGAGAACTATCATCTTTTAACATTGAGATTGCTTTGCTTTTCTTTTATTCCCCTCCAAGGTTCTCTTCTTGAATTCAGGGGAAACTTGACTTAGATGCAGAGCAGTTAGTTGATTGTGTGATAATATCGGTTTCCATCTTTGGCGGCTGTCTGCTTCTTTGTTTTATGCCCTTACTTTTCCCAGTTTTGTAAAAGCCAAATAATGTTGAGAAGTTTGTACCTTTTGAGGTTTGTTGAGGGATCCAAACATTCTTGGTTAATAACATATAGTATTAAGTTAAGTTGTGAGGAGTTGGGAACTCAATTTGAAGTTCCCGCTGATGCTGAAGGTCATTTGAAGCCAGCAGTTATTTTTGATGTAATTAGTGGCGTTATTGGCACTGGAGTTTGTAATCCCTCGCTTGGCAAATTCTCATAAGCATGTGATTGATTACTCACCTCGAAATATATCCAAGGCCTCTGCATGAATGGCTTCCTCCTCCTCCCTGGTGGATGTACGCATGCCTATTATCTATTTTCCCCTATAATTTTATACAGTTTGGACTTTGGAATAGCCTACAGTCTTTTCTCGCCATGTGGACATTTTACTTCTTCCTTCAAATTAACTTTTTTTGATGACTAAATTGGTTTAGACTATTTGGTTGAAGTCGAAAGAAAGTATTGGAATTTAAGTTGAGATAAAGTTTATGTCGTGTTTGAAAATGAATTTTACTTGTAAAAGAAGTTGAAAATATATGGGTGTAATTTTGCAGTTCATTATTTCACTTAAAATAGAATTTTTAATATTTCGCCAAAGAGTATTTGCGCATATTGATGACCAAAAGCAATATTTACCAACGGCATTTTATTATTTTAAATGTCTTTCTTAAATAAAATCAAACGTCGTTACGCTTGAAAATAGAGAACCCCTCTGTGTAGTATTTTCAACAAAGTGAACATGTTTAGTAGATTTATTCGGGTAGGGAACGTTCATGTCTTTTACAATTTATGAGGTGTTACCTCCATTTCAGTCGGAACTATTGTTCGATCAAGGTATTATCATTTTATTATTGTAGCTAACAACATTAATGCTAGATCTAATTTTTTTTTATAATTGTGTTATTTCTTTCAATGCAATGTCTTTCCGAATCAATAGTTTTTTTTTTCTTTTTCCGTTCAACAACTAATTTTTCTTAGGTACTAGTACAACCATGCTTAGCGTTTTTATGTATAGTCTTTTCACTATTTTTCTTTATGCATGTCTTTTCATTGTTTATTAACTTACTACATTAATACTAGATCTAATTTTTTTAAATTGTATTGTTTCTTTCAATACAAAGTATGTTCATATTATTTGGTTCGATAGTTTCTTTCTCTTGGGGACTTAACTGTTATCTAATGTCTTTTCATTGCTTATTACTTACAGTAAGTATAACGTTAATGCTAAATTTAATATTTTTTTAATTATATTGTTTCTTTCAATGCAAAGTCTGGTCATAGCATTTTTCGTTCGATAACTTCTTTCTCTTGGGTACTAGTACTGTTCTTAGCTTCTATGTAAAGTCTTTTCATCGTTTATTATCTACGAGGAAACAACAAAAAGTAACCATCATTATGGAACCAAGGGAGTACCTAGTTATATTTACAATTGTTTGAATCTCCTACGTCTTTACAAATTATTAGATGGAAGCCACGTGTATAATAATGTATTCATTTTACTTGCTAACATGATTAAAGTTGGAGAAGCAACTATTCTTTTCACCTTCCTCTTTCCTAATCAAGACCCAAAGCTGTTGTCCTCTTCTCTTTTAGCCTTATCCTTCCGTTACACATATATTTTTTTGCTTTTAAATACCAAAAATAGATGAGAGAAAACCCTAGCTCAACTCTCACATTGTTTGGCATATGAAATATATTTTTTTTCTACATTGCAATTCTGGGTTTTCACAAATTATTTAAGAAATTTTGATTTCATGAATTTTCATGATAAATCCACTTAGTTTCTCCCCGATGAGAATTGACAGACTTTAGATTTCGTTAAGTACATGTATATCTGTTATTTGTTTGTGATAAATCTATATAAAATTTTTGGACTTTGTATTAGCTCTATATTTTTATGTGCTAGGTGCTCCTAATTCTATAAGTCTTAAAGCCCTCAAAGCAAGTGTTACTACTTTGGTTGCTCTTGAAAAAGAGCGGATCGATCTACATGTTCATCAGTGCATTTCAGCAACTCCATTATAGCCAGATTTAGATCAGTCCGCTCCAAGGTGGCTCAAGGGGGAGGCTAGTAAAGCCTTTGCTTTAGGCCCCCTAAATTTTAGGGCCCCAAAAATATTTTTAGTTGTGACTTTACTATCTTATTTTTGCTTAGACAATATTAAAGTTTATAGAAAAAAATAAAAAAAATACAAAATCCTTATCAAAATGGAGAGAAAGACTATCTATTTTTCAACACTAGAATTATTTTAGAACTTTGAATTAAGCTACTCAAATCTTCATATTGATAAATAATATTTTTTACAATAAGATCCAAGATAACGAATTGAAAATACGTGGCTAACATTTTATTAACTTGAATTTTCTTCCCAATATGAATATTAATATTATATTTTATATGATAACTACACAATAGACAAAAAGAAAGAAAGAAAGAAAAAAGAAACTAATGTAATATTAATACTATATTTTGCAAGATAACTATACAATAGACAAAAATGAAAAAAAATTAAAGTCCCTTATTAAAATTTGGCTTTAGGCCACGAGTTTTATTGAGACGGCTTTGGACTCCGCTCTTTTTCGAGAGAAACCAAAGCAGTAGCACTTGCTTTGAGGGCTCTAAGACTTGTAGAGTTAGGAGCACCTAACACATAAAAATATAGAGATAATACAAAATTCAAAAAATTTATGTAGATTTATCATAAATAAATCTACAGATATCATGTACTTAAAGAAATCTAAAGTATGTCAATTCTCATCTCGGAGAAACTAAGTGAAATTTTTGGCTCATTTATAGGCCAAGTTGGCTTTTCATTCATGTTATGTGGAGGAGGGATGCATCTCCAAAACCCAGTGATCCCTTGTGATGTTGTTCCTGTATTTGTTGGGTTGACAATTGCTACCTTTGTTGTTGCTTTTTGTTCTGCCTGTTACGCATTGTATATCAATATACATACAATGCAGCCTCATGTCACCGATTTGGACAATAAAAAAAGAGCCATAGCAAAGAAGGCGTCGCTCATTTTGGAACCAGAGACACCACAACAAGAATCACCTCTTATGGGGAGGGTTAATGAAGTCAACAACGGAGAATTGGACCTTGACGTGTCTGTAGATTCTGTGATAGATAGGTGTAAAATAATTGTGAAATTTGGAGATGGAATAAAATTGAAGAGAAACTACAGATTTTTGGTGTTCTCTAACATATGATGTGTGGTAGCTTATGGAGTGATGATATGCTTTATTGCCTTCTACTCATGGTAAGTAATTTTTTTTCTTATACTTTAATAATTTAGATGTGTATATTAGGATGCCAACTTTGTTAGAAGATTAAAGCTCTCTAATTGATTTTTTCTATTTATGTACAACTGCTAAGAGTGTGTGTAAATGAGCTATCAGTAAAAGTGAATGGCAGGAGTACGTAAAGTGAATGGAAGGAGTACCTGAAGAATGTGGCCTACTTTTGAGTTTTGAACACTAAGTTTATTTGAGTACTTTTAATTAGTGTTAAAGTCTAGTTACCATGTATGATATGGTACTTATTTTATTATGTTTATTCAGTTGTGTGTTTTGCTAAGAAACTTTTGATAGAATCTGTTTTGACAATGCAATGCAATGCAACGCAAATGGGTTTGCCAGGAAATTTATGTAATGACAAGCCACTTAGAACTAAAGAAAGAAGATGTCAAAAAGAAACATCCACAAGTCTGCCCTCCCTGCTTTATCTAATGTTCCTTTTCTCTAACAAGAAGTTATTGGTATTATTATACTCAAGGGCGGCTCCAACATATGTGTGACATAAAGCTAAAGCTTAATGTGAGGCCTAAATTTTTTTTAAAAAATTATTAATAATATTTTATAATTGATTTCCTCTAATAATTCCTTTTCATTTGATAATATAACCAACAAATTTAATCTATCTTGAGACATTGTTAATCTTAGGTAAGATTTTATCAATTATAATGTTGAACTTGGCAACTTTTATAGAAAAACTCTACTTTTATACAAAAAGTACTAAATATTATATTTTTAAATACCTATAAATCTATTATTTCTAAAAAATGGCCCCTTAAGGAAAAAGCCTTACTCGAATCTACATTAGAGTCGGCCCTATTTGTACTTTCTTCTGCTTATAATGTCTTGCTTTAATACCAAGATAACCTAACGTTGACGGAAACAAGCCATTTGATAACATCGAATAGGGCCTCCTACGCAATACCCATTGCATGGAGACACGACAGACTTGTATTCTATATGTGAAATGAAAGCTGTCTTTTAGTGTAAAAGGATTTCACGAACATTCAATGATCCGTGTCTTGTCTCCTTAAAATTGTTATAAGAAACCGCCCCTCCCTTTTCTCCTTGAAAAATGTAATCATTTTGTTGTCCATTTATGTATGTTTTGTACCAGATTGACTCTTAGTTGGAGCTTGTGTTGCTGGACTAGTAGGGGTTTCATCTAATTCTTCTTCCTCATTAAGAATATTGTCACACATCCTTTTTACCTACACCCCCCGAAGGGAGTATATAAGGGAGTTTTTTTCAACTTAAAGTGACAATCGAAACGGGATTATTTTATTAAAAATACTTGGGATAATTTATGGTGTCCCAAGTCACTGATTTTAAATCCCAAATCGAGGAAAGATTGACTCTGTATTACAGTACGCGAACACATNCATAACTATTTTCCGTTATTTAATATGACTCACCTCAACTATTAAAGGAATCTAATTATTTAAATATTAATGGGATTGGAATTCTACTAAAGTTCCAACTAATTAAAAGAGGACCGCTTTAAAGAGGAAGGGGGGCGACTATTTGAAGGAAATGGTTTGGGCCCAACAATGGCGCTGAAATGGAAATGAAGAGGCAGGCCAAGACCTGATGAGGTCCTGTAGCTCCATTTCAGATGGTTTCGTGGCTTGAAGCCCAAATCTTTG